TTGAATGTAAGATGGGAAACCGTAAAAATCTTAGAAGAATGTATAGGCAGCAAAATATCAGACTTATATCATAGCAATATCTTTATTGATATATCTCCTAGTACAATGGAAATTAAGGAGAGAAAAACAGATGGGACTACATCAAAATAAAAAGCTTCTGTATAGCAAAGGACCATCAACAAAACGAAGAGGAAGCCCACTGTATGGAACAACATATTTGGCAATGATACATTTGATAAAGAGTTAATATCCAAAATATATAAGAAACTCATACAACTTAACAGAAGGAAAATAAACAATCCAATCAAAAAATGGGCAAAGGACCTAAACAGACACTTCTCAAAAGAGGATATACCAGTACAGATGGCCAAGAGACATGAAAAAAATGCTCAATGTCCCTGTCCCTGATCATCATCATCAAGATGCAAATTAAAATGACAAGGAGGTATCATCTCACACCTGTCAGAATGGTTATCATCAACAAATCAACAAATGACAAGAGCTGGTGACAAGTGCTGTAGAGAAAAGGGAACTCTGGTACATGGCTAATGGGAATGCAGACTGGTGCAGCCATTATGGAAAATGGTATGGAGTTTCCTCAAAAAGTGAAATATGGGTCTGCCATTTGACCTAGTGATCCTACTTCTAGAAATATAACCTAAGAATTCCAAAGCACCAATCAGAATGGATATATGCATTCTGATGTTCATAGCAGCACAGTTTACAATAACTAAGATCTGGAAACAGCCCAAGGGCCCATCAGTAGATGAGTGGATAAAAAAGCTGTGGTACGTCTATACCATGGAATACTATGCAGCAGTAACAAAGAAGACTCTCTTACCTTTTGAGACAGCATGGAGGGATCTGGAGAGTATCATGCTGAGTAAAATAAGTCAGTCATAGAAAGATAAGTATCCCATGATCACACTCATATGTGAAAAATAAATAACAAAATAAATCAATAAACAGGGTGGATCCAGAGACATGGAACAGGGTGTGGAATCTCAGAGGAAAGGTAAGGGAGGGAGGGTAATCAACCAAGGACCTTGTATCCATGGCCCATGGACACAGACAGTGTGGGAGTGAGGTCCTGGGGGTGGGGGTGGGGGGGTGGGAAAGAGAGGAAGGGGTGGGGGTTGGGTGGGAGGAGGTTAAAGGGGGAAAAGGAGGGCATATATAATACTGTCTACAATAAAGAATTATATATATGGCTAATATGCAAAGTACCCCCTCAGGAGTTCGACCGGGAGAGCAGAAGTTGGATCACCCACTATGACATGTGCTGACCACCAGGGTGCGGCACAAAATGAAGGAAGGCCCCAGCCGGCAGCCAAAGGGCCTTGATTGACCCTGGTCACCAGCCAGGCCTAGGGACCCTACCTGTGCACGAATTTCAGGCACCAGGCCTCTAGTCTATATATTTAAAGCCCAGAGACCAAACAGCAGAATGACCAGTTGACCAGTCGCTGTGACGCATACTGACCACCAGGGGGCAGATGCTCAACGCAGGAGCTGCCCCCTGGTGGTCAGTGCACTCCCACAGTGGGAGCACCACTTGCCTGACTGGGATGAGTGACATTCCCACAGCTGGGCCGATCCCCGCAGGCTACGCCTCCACCAGTGTAGGAATCCATGCAGCAGGCCTCTAGTAAAAAAATAATTTAAAAAAGGTCAATTAATATTTATTTATAATAATTGGCCTCTGCACCTTAATTAATTGTGGCGCAGATTGTTACTTTTATAAACACATGTTGCTTTGTAAACTCATGGACACATACAACAGTGTGATGATTACGGGGTACAGGGGGATGGGCCGAGGTGGAGGAGGGCATCTATTCTAATTAAAGGGTGATATGCTAATTAGACCAGGTAAACCAGCTACCTTCTGGACATCTGAATTCCTTCCAGACAAAACCATGTTGGTGGGGGCTGAGGCAGAAGCAGTTAGGGGCAAGGTCAGGCTGGCAGGTGGTTAGAGGCGGTCAGGCCAACAAGAGAGGGCAGTTGGGGATGACCAGGTCTGTAGAGCAGGGCTGTTGGGGGCAACCAGGCTGGCAGGGGAGGGCAGTTGTGGGTACAACCAGGCTGGCAGGGGAGGGCAGTTGGGGGTACAACCAGACTGGCAGGGGAGGGCAGTTGGGGGTACAACCAGGCTGGCAGGGGAGGGCAGTTGGGGGTGAGATCAGACCAGCAGGGGAGGGGAGTTGGGGGCGAGATCAGACCAGCAGGGAAAGGCAGTTGGGGGCAACAAGGCTAGCAGGGGAGGGCCATTGGGGACGAGATTAGATCAGCAGGGGAGGGCCATTAGAGGCAACCAGACCAGTAGGGGAGAGTCATTGAGGGCTACCAGGGTGGCAGAGGTGTGCCATTAGGGGCGACATCAGGGCAGCAGGAGAGGGCCATTGAGGGCGACCAGGCCAGCAGGGGAGGGCAGTGAGGGGGTGCAACCAGGCCGGCAGAGGAGGGCCATTAGGGGTGAGTTCAGACCAGCAGGGGAGGGCCATTGGGGGCAACCAGGCCAGCAGGGGAGGGCCATTGGGGGCAACCAGGCCAGCAGGGGAGGGCAGTTGGGGGCAACCAGGCCAGCAGGGGAGGGCAATTGGGGGCAACCAGGCTGGCAGGAGAGGCCATTGGGGGTGACCAAGATGGCAGGGGAGGGCCATTGGGGGCAAGATTAGATGAGCAGGGGAGGGCCATTAGGGGTGAGATCAGACCAGCAGGGGAGGGCCATTGGGGGCAACCAGGATGGCAAAGGAGGGCCATTGGGGGCAACCAGGATGGCAGGGGAGGGCCGTTGGGGGCAAGATTAGACGAGCAGGGGAGGGCCATTGGGGGCAACCAGGGCAGCACGGGAGGGCCGTTGAGGGCAACCAGGGCAGCAGGGGAGGGCAGTTGGGGGCAACCAGGCTGGCAAGGGAGGGCTGTTGGGGGCAACCAGGATGGCAAGGGAGGGCCGTTGGGGGTGACAAGGCCGTTGGGGAGGGCAGTTAGGGGGTGCAACCAGGCCGGCAGAGGAGGCCCATTGGGGGCAACCAGGATGGCAGGGGAGGGCCGTTGTGGGCAAGATTAGACGAGCAGAGGAGGGCCATTAGGGGCGAGATCAGACCAGCAGGGGAGGGCCGTTGGGGGCAACCAGGATGGCAGGGGAGGACCATTGGGGGCGACAAGGCCGTTGGGGAGGGCAGTTAGGGGGTGCAACCAGGCCGGCAGAGGAGGGCCATGGGGGGCAACCAGGATGGCAGGGGAGGGCCGTTGTGGGCAAGATTAGACGAGCAGAGGAGGGCCATTAGGGGCGAGATCAGACCAGCAGGGGAGGGCCATTGGGGGCAACCAGGATGGCAGGGGAGGACCGTTGGGGGCGACAAGGCCATTGGGGAGGGCAGTTAGGGGGTGCAACCAGGATGGTAGGGGAGGGCCATTGGGGGCGACCAGGATGGCTGAGGAGGGCCATTAGGGTCGAGATCAGACCAGCAGGGGAGGGCCATTGGGGGCAACCAGGCCAGCAGGAGAGGGCAGTAAGGGGGCACAACCAGACCAGGAGGGAGGGCCATTGGGGGCAACCAGGATGGCAGGGGAGGGCCGTTGGGGGCGATCAGGCCATGGGGGAGGACAGTTAGGGGGCACAACCAGGCTGGCAGAGGAGGGCCATTAGGGGCGAGATCAGACCAGCAGGGAGGGCCATTGGGGGCGACTAGGACGGCAGGGGAGGGCTGTTTGGGGCAACCAGGCCATCAGGAGAGGGCAGTTAAGGGGCGCAACCAGGCCGGTAGAGGAGGGCCATTAGGGGCAAGATCAGAACAGCAGGGGAGGGCCATTGGGGGTGACTAGGCCAGCAGGAGAGGGCCATTGGGGGTGACCAGGCCAGCAGGGGAGGGCCATTGGGGGTGACCAGGACGGCAGGGGAGGGCCATTGGGGGCGACCAGGCCAGCAGGGGAGGGCCATTGGGGGTGACCAGGACGGCAGGGGAGGGCCGTTTGGGGCAATCAGGCCATCAGGAGAGGGCAGTTAGGGGGCACAACCAGACCAGCAGGGAGGGCCATTGGGGGCAACCAGGATGTCAAGGGAGGGCTGTTGGGGCTGAGATCAGACCAGCAAGGGAGGGTATTTGGGCAAGCACACAATTTTTATGTGGACTGCATATTTCATAGGAAGCTTTGAGGTTTATGGAAATGGTGTTTGGTACTTTTTGCACCTAGGGGTTCATTTTGCTTGATGTTTAATGCTTGATTTAGTTGGGATTCATTTGATTTGGGAAATAGGAAATGGATTTTGGCCTGAATTGCGGAATTGACTCCGTTAATGTTCCATTAGGCCAGTTTCAGAAATGTACAACAGTTGATGGCTGACCCTGGGGGCGGTCTCAGCTGCAATGCTTGATGCTGTGGCTCCCATCACCTGGGAAATCACGCCACGGTGCCACATGCTTAAGGGGTGATCCTGGGGATGAAGCACTAGGGATCCCAAGTGGACCTTCGGTCCAGCACCAACCCACCGGGCCCGAGTATGGACAACCACCCCTGCCCAGCAATGGCGCACGTTTTATTAGCGTTTCATTTATGACCGAGGTTCCGTGGCTCCCCCGTCTTATTTGTGTATTTCTTAAGTAAACTGCTTGTTCATGCACTTTGCTCATTTTTGTGATGGGTTAGCTTATTAATTCTTAAGAGCTTTTTGCTTATCAGGGAAATTAACCCTTTGTTACTGATTTTTATGCAGTCCCCACCCCCATTCACATTTTATTATATGTGATTTTTTGTAGGTTCCCTCTTCCCTCTCCTCCCTCCCTCCCCCACTTATACCCGTGGGGCCTCCCACCTTTTTATCACCACCACCAGCACCACCACCACCACCGTGAACAACGGCATTTGCTCGAAACCGCAAATAAGTCAAAGGAGTCCCAAACTGCAATTTTTAAATTTTTATTGATTTTTTAATGCTGCACAAGACAATATTGAATTCATTTCTTTTATTTCTGTTTGCTGCTTTTAATTTTAGTTACTTAAAGAGAGAGGGAACTGTTTTGGCCTTTTTTTTTTTTATTTATCTTTATCTGAAGGCCGCCTTAAGCTTTCTAAATTTGGAATATTTAAGCAAGCTGAAAGGGAAGAGGGGTTTGTAATCACTCAAGGGGAAAAGGGAAGGTTGCTTTGTTAATCATGCCCTATGGTGGGTGATTAACTGCGTGTATTTCATGTTAATTAATTGTGCTTAAGGCTGTAATTAAGTCGGGTTCCCCTCTTAGAGCAGCTCGTACTGGCGGAGGTGCATGCGCTGGATGATGTCGCGGCAGTCGTTGAACACGCGGCGGATGTTCTCGGTGTCCACGGCGCAGGTGAAGTGGGGGTAGCAGTAGTGGCGCCCATCTCCACTCGCAGTGCTGATTCTCTGCGGCACAGACAGGGACGCTCGGTTAGCACCGCCTCTGCACAAACCCGCCCCTGCCCCCTAGGACCCCTGGCCAGCTACTAATGTTAATGAAAACAAACCCAAGTCAAGGAGCACAAAAGCTAAAATTCACAGGGCAACCCATGAGATGAAATGGAAGTACTGGATGGTTTAATCTCCAAGTGTGGAATTAAGTTAATTTCCATCCTCGAGAATCAAAGCAACCAGGGAGGGACGTGAAGACAGTCTGCTCACCAGGAACTCATCGCGGATGAAGTACTTGGCCCGGGTCACGCGGGGGTCCTCGCCAGGCTCGGGAGTAGCTAGGAAGAACATAAAGATTTTGTTACGGACACATGATTGCATATGGAAACTCACATGCCGATTAACCGGAGAAGGTCCTACGTACCATCCTCAGGAGTAGTGTAGCGAGCAAATTCTGGAAAGTAGTCCTCAATCTTGGATTTTCCAGCGAGGACTTTCTCAGCAAGCAGGTCTTGCTTGTTGAGGAACAGAATCACAGAGATGGTGCGCAGCCATCTAGCAGAGAGGGGAGCAGGGTTAGAGCCCAGGAGAAGAGATTTCTCCTTCAAGGGGCTTGAGATGCTCTCACAAGGACTTGGACAAGATTCTGCTCTAACGCTGGGGATAGGCGGGGCCGGACTCAGTCCGAGGAGGGCCGCTCCACCCACCTGTTGTTCCAGATGCTCTTGAAGAGGTTCAGAGCCTCCTGCAGACGGTTGGTCTGGTTGTCCTCACGAATGACCATGTTGTAGCTGCTGCTGGCCACCACGAAGATGATGGCAGTCACATCTTCAGCGCAAGAAAGCAAGGCAATACGTGTCAGAAGCAGAAGGATCCTTCACCATTACAGAGGCAAACAGAACTCAGACGTAGAGAAGCGTCCTTACCATTGAAGCACTGGATCCACTTGCGGCGTTCATCGCGCTGGCCACCAACGTCAAACATGCTGGAAGGGAAAGGACGCCGGTTACACTCCGGGGCCTCCCAGGGGAACACCTAGACACCGTTATCTCCGTTTCCTAACGGGAACCCGTTCACTTACTGGAAGTTGACTTTGTCCACCTGGAACTTGGTCTCAAAGATTCCAGAAGTCAGGACACGGCAGCGAAGCAGGTCCTAAAACATAACCAAGGTCAATGGGTCTCCCCAAAATCGACCGAAATGTTAAAAATCGCCAATCTAGAGCAAAACTCTTAAAAGCTGGAGAAGTTGTGTACCTGGTCGCTGGGGACATAGTCGTCCTGCTTGATGACATCAATCTTGTCCAGGAAGCTGGGAGGGGAAGGAAGACACGGGGGCAGCTGAGCGTCATATCAATGTGCCCAATATTTCCAAATTATCTTAAATTGCGTTTGCTCTGACGCTCAGAGTCAGGGGTGGGGGTGGTGACCCCTCAGGAATAGGGGACACTACAGCTGCAGTCTGAAGTCAGGCCTATGAGATTGTGTGCCTTTGATAATGTCTAAGTAAATAGAAATTTACATTTTAAATGTAAAATTGTTTGGCTTGGACTAAATTAGCGGGTAACTTGAAAATTCTAATGGAAGTGAGTTGTTTGAGTTACTCAGAAGGGGAACCCCTTCCTTCTGCCTTTAAGAACCTCGATAATGAAAGAACAAAAGAGGTTGGGGTTGGGGTCTCAGGGAGTCCCATGGGGAGCACCTCCTCTCCCCCAGCTGAACTTGGTACTTTGGTGTTGCTGGACCGGAAACACCATTAGGAAAAGTAACTTCTGGAAGACTGGGTTAACTTAATTAGTGTTTAGTTAACCCAGTGTTTTGTGTTTTTTGGGGGGAGTCGGGTGGGGGGCGTTGGGATTGCTCTAAGTGGCTGATCAGAAAACGAAGTGCGAAGGGGGAAAGTCTATTTAAAGAAGTTCTCTAAGTCTTCCCCTTCCTTTTCACCAGGTTAGAGTTAGTCTGGCTTGGAGGACACTCTAACTTGCCCAATCAGGCTTACATTACAGCACCAGGCCAGAAATAGCTCCCCCGCCGCCCTGGCCTCCAGCGTATTGCCATGGCAACAGAACCACAGTTCTAAAAATAGCTCAACAGCACCAAATCTTGCGAGAGAGACAGCTGGAGCTGGGCCAGCCCAAACCCCAGCTCAACAAATAAAAATAGGCGGCTTCAGACATGGGCAAGGCCCTACTACCTCCACTTTTTAAAATGAGCACCAAGGCAGTGGAGCAGCAGCTCAGTGGTCAGTGCTAGCCAGGGCCTCGGAGTCCTCCTCCGGGGAAGACATTTTATAAGCTATGTCCTCTTTTTCCCGAAGTTTCTTAAAACTTTTCATAAACTGGGTATGTTTGCCACTTCCATCTGAAGTTGCAGGAGTCACTGAATGTTGCATTAAGAAAAACTTTTGAGTGGGCGGGGAGAGGCCAATGGGGGAAAAAGGAGACATACGTAAACTTTCAACAATAAAGAACCAAGAAAAAAAAGAAAAACACTAAGATGGTGGAAGATTAAAAAACGACAAAGCAGCCTAAACTGCTATTAAGGAGGCCGCCCCGCCTCTGGGCGCTCCGGCCTGTACCTGTCCTCTGACTTGGATCCAGGGCCCAAGCAGAAACAATTCCAGGATTTCCATTTGTTTTTCGTTACTATAATTAGCACTTCCAGCTTTTAGTTCAAACTTTTTAGAAAATCAGGGGCTTTGTTGAAGAAGGGGTGGGGGTCGCAAGGACTGGCCCAGATGGGGCTGTTTTTCTGTCCGCTGTGAAAATATACAAACTTGCTTGTCTAGTAAACCCTTGGCAAAGCAATTATCAGCTGCCAAGGAGGGGGGCGGGCGGGAGGGGGGTGGCGGCATCTTTTTGCATGTATTTAAATTACAATAAGTAAAATATTTTTACATTATCCCAAGTATGAGAGCTGTCCTGTCTATCTACTGCCTGGAGATCAAGCCAATTAATTACTTTAAGCTAATTAATTATAAATGTCACCTTATTGCTGATAGTGACCATTTTTGGATAACAGACATTAATTATTTATGTAAAATAATGTCACTGCACTAAAAACTGCAATAAGGGCTTTGAGAGGGAGTGAATGGCCCCGTTTACAAGTGGCTTGGTGTGGACTGCGGCCTCAGTGTGTGCCGTGTGGTGCTGACGGGCGAGGTCACTTACTACTGGGCACAGTCAATCAGCTGGTACTCGTTGGAGCGCTCATAGCAGGCGCGGACGCCCTCGTCCTCCCACAGAGCCTTGGCGTGCTCGTAGAATTCCTGCGGGCAAGGAGAGGCGTCAGGGGGGCCGCCGGGCTGAGCAGGGCTCTGGGTGCGAGGGGTGAAGGGTGACAACTCCTGGCTTTTGCTGGCGCACACCCTTAGCGTGACGCCCATTTGTGGGCACGGGAGAGCCGAGATTTGCAAGGGGTGACAGGCTTTCGCTCACCCATCTTGAGCCAGGCCCTAGTGATTCTTAGTGGTTTTTTTTGTTTTTATTTATTTATTTTTAATATATTTGTATTGATTAATGAGAGAAAGGGAGAGAGATAAAGCATCAATGATGAGAGAGGGTCATTGATCGGCCGCCTCCTGCACGCCCCCTAAAGGGGATGAAGCCCGCGACCCGGGCATCTGCCCTTGGCCGGAATGAACCGGGACCTTTCAGTATGCAGGCCGAGGCTCTAGCCACTGAGCCAAACTGGCCAGGGCAATTGTTTTTTTTGTTTTTAAATATTAAGGATCTTATGGAATTAACTCTCTCCTAAGAATCACTGGGATGTGTTGGGCAGGACACAGGTGTGCTCTGCCACAGGTGGGCCTGTGCCACCTGGAGCTCTGGGCACCGAGGGGTGGGGTGGGGAGAGGAGGGGCCCTGCGGGGCGGGGCGGAGCTTACGGGAGGGAAATCAAAGTCAGGCTTGTTCATCACACTCAGAATGTAGTCCACGCGGAACTGGTTCTCAGGGTTGGCCAGCTCCACGGGCGGCACCAGGTTGCTCATGGCGGCCACAATGGTCTGAAAGGGATTTAGCAGGCGGTCAGGGGCAGTACTGTGTGGTGGGGGGGGCTAACCGAATCAGAAAGAACTGAGCACATACTTCAATGGCCTCCTTCAGGTTGTTTTTGATGTCCTGCACCTTGGTGGCCTTCTCACTACAGTGGGATTGAAAAGGAAAAAGGAAGTCACATGGCGTCGTGGTGCCTAACAGGGCCCGTTTTAGTAACACATTCCGCTAAGGATAGTATTCTGTTCTTGAAGGGGGGGTGGAGGGTCCCGAGGAAAGGTGGTCTCAAACCGCCACCGCCCAGCTCTGCCTGCAGGCCACGCCTGCCTGGGCTCCATCAGCAAATTGGCATCTAGGTAGTGACCGAGGCCTACTGTACCAGAGGTTGTGCCCTGTCCGCTGCTCCCCTCAGTGGGCCTGCTCGCTGGGAGCCCCCAGCACACACTAGCAGGACCTCGGTGTCAGCGTCCCTGTGGGGGCGGGGGCGGGGCCACGGTGTGGCCAGGGAGAAAGTTTCATGGTTCCCTTTGGGGCTTCCTCCCCACGGGGTCAGGGGCTGAATGAGGGGGGTTATAAATCCCACCTCGGGGCTTTTGCAGCCCTGGTCACTGGCTTATTGATCGACTGTTTACTTGTTTACTGGTCATTGTGTCTCACTGTGGCCAGCAGCAATGACTGGCTGCTGGCGCGGGCGTGTGGTGCGGCTAGGGTGGAGCCTGCCCCAGAAGCCTTTTTGTGACCTGGGGCTTCTGCACTCACTGGGAAGGGGAGGGGGGAGGGGGACACAGGCTGGAATCCTTGTTGCTTTAATTTGGACCTATACAATGGCCTTCGGAGCTAACTCTTTGCTGAGAATCATCGGGATGTGCTGGCAGGACACAGGTGTGCTCTGCCGCAGGTGGGCCTGTGCCACCTGGAGCTGCGCGCTCCAGGGGCGGGGCGGGGCTTATGGAGGGAAATCCAAGTGTGGAATGATCTCGACCTCCTTCCCTGGCCAAGGCCACACCCTAGGGCTTCTGGGTGCCCTCCCCCAACCCCCCTGCATACCCTGCACCACATTAGGTCAATGAAAACGCTATCTTCCCCAAGCTGCCCTTCACCAGAGGCTGGGCCGGCGGGTTTTTAAGGGGAAAGGACCCCTAGCTTGGGGCGTGCATCATGCCAGGCCCATGGTCCCAACCAGCCTCTGGGCTTGGGGGGAGGGGGCAGGTTTGGAATCCAAACACCTGCTGTGTATTAGAAGCAGGTTCGTGACTGAGGGGACACTGAGGCCCGCAGAAGGGGCAGGGCTTATTTCTCCTGCTGTAACTTTTATAATCCCTTGAGATTGTCTGTTTGAAGCCTTCACCTGGGGGAGTCGGGGTGGGGTGGCGACCCCTCGGGAGAGGGCAGAACATGAAAAGGGGAAGCGCAAATGTGTTAATAGCAGCCAGTCCGCCTGGGTTAGTGGGGGGAGGAGGGGAGGACGAAGGAGGGGCCGGGGAGCAGGGAGCTGAGGGGGCGTGTGCTTGCCCCCCAAACCTGGGCTTTTGTCTTATAATGTTCCCATTTGCATATGAGGGGCGGCTCTCATCTCCAAGATGAGCTCATGTGGCCCCTTTCCAGAATCCCCCCTCCCGTCCAGCCAGCCCGGAGGCCTGCCCCCCACCAGAGGGAGGGGCCGCGCCGCAGAGTCGGGGGGCGGGGTGACTGGCTGTTTGGGCCAGAGCTGCACCGGGGGACTCCAGGAGCTGGGGCGGGGGGACTGGGAGGGAGTCTGGGCCCTGTGTGCTGTTTGTGCAACTCGCAGCGCCTCCTGCGCCCTGGGTGCCCGGCTGGGCTCGGTGCGCAGAGGCCTGCACCTTGGCAGGACGTGTCTGACCCCGCCCTCCCCCGCCCCCCGCCTTATTCAGGGGTTCAGGCGCGCCTAGGCCCCGGGGGGTTGGGGCGGGCTGTGTGGGGCGGGTTATGGGGTCTGAGTAGCGGGATGGCAATGGGCACGTGCCCGCCCTGAAGCCCGGATCCTCTGAGGACGCGCTCGGCGCTGTCGGGGGAGGTGGGAGTGGATCAGTGGGAGCCGCTAAGTAGGAAGCCGGCCTCGCTGGGGTGTAACACTCCGTGGGCGCCGCCTTCGGCAATTAGCGCGCAGACGGAGCCGCACGCCGGGCTGAGGGGGCGGCGCCCCAACTGCTGCTCAATGAGCGGAGCTGGGGGCAGGCTGGGAGGGGCTCCGCGGGCTGGGCCGGGCTTCCGCCCGGGGCCGCTGGGCGGGACCAGGAGCGCGAGGCTCCGCCCCGTGTGGGAAGCAGAGGGCTCGGTTCAAGTCCTAAGGGCCCCCGCCCCCTCCCTGGGCCTCGGGAGTGGTGATGGGGGGGGGGGGGGAGGTTTTCTCCATTCTTGTGCTTTTATGGGGAAAGACAGACAAGGAGAGACAGAAGACAGACAGGGACTGCTGAGGCATGCAGAGTTTTTTATTTATCAGTTAGAGAGAAGAGAAGGCAAGTGTTAGCAGGGCAGGGTTAGGGCAGCATCTAGCAGACGGAGTTGTTCAGTAAGGACTGGTCACTACTTCTCAAATGCCAACTTTTGGTACAGTAAACTGAGTCAAGTCACTTGTTACATAGATGCCCATTTTGATGCCACACTGCATTTCTCAACAATTAAGGAGTGTATTTAGTTTCATGTCACACATTACTGAACAATTAAGAAGTTAACGTCTATTTTGATATCACACTATATTTTGAACAATTAAGGACTACACGTCTATTTTGAATATCACACTACATTTTGAACAATTAAGGACTACACGTCTACTTTGAATATCACTACATTTTGAACAGTTAAGGACTAAATGTCTACTTTGAATATCACTACATTTTGAAGTTAATTTCATCCCATTTTTGTTTTTGTGATTTTGTATTTTTCAATTTTTTTGTGTGTTTTTTATTTTTCTCCCCCCCAGTTATCTTCAGATGTTAGGTGGAGTCCCCCCTCCCTCCGCCCCCCGCCCCCCTCCCTCCACCCCTCCACCTTCAGCCCCCAACAGAATAGTATTCTTATTAGAAGTTCCTAAAACGGGCGATCCCAGCATGCAACAAGGGTGATAGGACAGTAGGGAAGGGGAAGAGGAGAAACCGAGAGGGGGGAGAAGAGAAACCGAAGCCATCATCTAGAGGGAAAGTATTCTAAAAGAAACAGATGAACAAACATGTGTCAGTCACTTGGTCCCGACCCCCATCTCCTTTGCCCCGCCCCTCCCAGCCACTTCTTGGAGGAGCCCTGACTCAGTCCATGGCCCTGCATGGTCTCATGAGAAAGCTGCCGATGACAGCATGCTGAACGTGCAGGCACAGCTGGAGCAGGTTACCTGTCATGCATGCATGTGTGTGCTGGCATGTGATGGTGGTGATGCAGGAAGTGAAGGAAAACATAACTCGATAATGAATGGGGGACAAGATGGATGCCATCACTCATTTTCTGTCCTGCCCACTAGCTGACATAGAGCCTCGGATTAAATTGTTAACTTTTTGACCAGAGGCTTTTCGAGATCAACTCACCCCCACGTGCCAAGTACTTCTTTTTCCCCAAATTAAGGAGGGTGTGGCACCTCGTATTTTAGGGGAGATTTTCCTCAGAGAGGTCTGAAATTTTAAAATCAGACCCACCGGGTGGTGGAATTTTTTTTAATTTTTTTTTTTAAGTAGCAGATTCAAATGAAGAGCTGGGGGACGGGACTGGATAGGAACATAGGAAAAAATAGCAATTCTCAAAATCTTAAACTGGTGGTCTGAGCTGGCAGCTAGTTTCCCCCAGCTGTATCTAATCGTACTCTAAGGATGGCCAAAAGAAAAGCCACAACAGAGCTGTTTTGCATTTCACGTGCCATGAGATGAGGTTGCTTATGTGTTGTGTGCAAACGTATGTCAGGATGGATGATGGCCCCTGCATGATCTCTGCCTTCGTCCCGGGCTCTGCCTCAGTTTCCCAATCTGCTATTCATGTCTGTCTGCTGGAAAGTTTTTCTGTTTTTGAATGTGCCTACCCTTCGCTGTTGCTCCTGGCAGCCTGCGGGTCCTCTTCGCCGCCCCTTTTAAAGAGAGATTGAAAGCTCACCTAATCTGCAAGGCACTGCAATGTCACAAACCCCCACCCAAAGGGCCGCCATCCCGCTAGTGCTCAGGTCGCCTCCTTGGCTACTAGGAAGGCCTCCTGGGCTGCGGCCGTGGGGGAATGCCACGCCCTGGCTGCAGTATTAGCGGAGCCCTCTGGAGGCTCTGGCCGGGGACAGGAGGGACTGCTAATTATTTTCCCGTGCTTTCACTAATTGTGCATGCACCAGGGAGCCGGCGGCGGTTCCTCTCCGTCCTCTGGAGACCACGGCAGTACCTGTGAGGTCCTCAGTGTTGACTGAACACGGGCAGCGCGGTGACGTCTGCCTGTGACATCTGCTGCGACAGTAAGACCTCCCTTCCTGCAGCCCAGAAACTACCCATATGACGTCATTGATGAGTCATTGTCATCACTTCAAACCACATCTGGACTTTGAAAACCGAACCAAACCAAACACACCTTTCAAAGCCTAGTCTTCCCGACGGGGGGCGCCCCATCCCGAAGCTGAGGGGCAGCCCGGCTAAGTGTGGTGGTTTTATCATCGATTAGCTCAGCTGGCATGAATGGTGCTGGGGTTTTCTTTTTCAGTGCAAGAGGAGTTAGCTGTGCGTTAGGGAAATCTGACTTTGACTTCTACTTCTGGAAGTCAGGTTAGAATTACAAGTTACTCTGACAGGTAACCAGCGTGGCAGTTAAGGCGAGTTGAACAGCTCAGCTAGCTCTAAGGAAGCGCATTTGCTTACGGGAGGGCAGGGACCCCCACCCGGAGCCCCTGGCAGGAGGGAACCCGTTTGTTGCGACACCGAATCGAGGTAAACAGAGGCTACTGGGACGGGATAAAAATAAGGGTTCGGACTCAAGCTAAGAATCCCCTGCATGTCACTTTCGCAGGCTAAGTTTAACATCCTACAAGATTACCTATGGCTTCCTCTACGAGGCAGGCAAACTGGGAACTCACTTCCTCTTTTTAAAAAAAGAAATTAGAAAAGAGAAGTTTTGGTTTAAATGCCTGGACTGCATTATAGATGAGCTGACGGAGAGAGGAAAATCCTTTCTCTAAAAATAATAAGTAAATAAGTAAATAAATAGGGCAATTAGGAGTTATAAAACTTTAAATAACTAAGGTAAACGTGGCCACTAAATCCCTTTAAAAATGCTAGCCATGTCGTTTCAAACAAAATATTTATCTCAGGTTCGCAGGCGGGGTCATTCCGGTTAACCGGCCTCCTGAACCGCTCCTGGTAAGGTGTTGTTTGTGTGGGGGGGGGAGGGGGGTGTCACTAAAGTAGTTATTGGTATGATGTCATCCTTTTCTTACCCCCCTCCCTTGATCTAAGAAATTCTAGAATTTTCCATAAAGAGCTGCCTTCAGGGCAGTGCACCCTCTGAAAGGGGTAAATTGTGTCCCTGGCACTGGGAGGGCAGTGGGTTTGCGTTTTTGCTTGTGTGCCCCCGGGAGCAACGAAGGGGTCGACTCCCACCGGGTAGAGAGGCTGGGACCGCTGACCAGCTAGCAATGGGGTTAACTCTGCCGGGCCTGAGGGGGCAGCTCCCTGGCTAGACAGCGGCTCTGTACCCTCCCCTCCTGCGTTTTCCTTTCCTCTCCCTGCACTGCGGCTGGTCACGGCCTGAGACCCCACGCCGAAAAGGCCGTTTCAAAGACAAAAGTGCCCCCTGATCGGCTACAGCACCTACTCCTGGCCTCCCCACCCCATCTCCCCTGTCTCTCCAGGCCCAGTTTGTTAAAAAGGAAACAATGATTCGATTCGGGTAACATTAATTCCAGGGAGGGGGATAGTAATTAGCAAGGCTGCCTAACTTGCTTTGTGAGGGGGTTATTGAAACAATGTTTCCCTGGCAGTGAGGTCCTGCTGCGGCACTGCCGGGAGGTCTGGGGGGTGCTCTGCAGTGGGTGTCACCTGACGGGGTGGCCGCAGCCCGGGCGGCCATGCTGGGGACCCACTGCACCACGGCCTGCGGCAGGCAGTCCGGGCCGCCTCGTGCCTTACGCTGTTACTGTCACCTTTGTGGCTGCCCCAAACACCCCCTCGGGATTCTCTAATACCAGGCTGAAAAAGTAAGTGGGAATGGGCTGCCCGGTCTCCCCAGGCTCCTGAACGCCCTAAAGGTCAGTGTCCAGTGTGTCCTGTCCCTGGTGCGGCTCAGACACTTACTCTCCATTAAACCCATTAACATGCAGAATCCTCATTTGCTTGACAATGGTGCTTTTACCAGACTCTCCCGCACCTAGAAAATGAAAGTGAGGCTCAGGTTAAGAGGGGCATTTGGCACGGTGGGCAGCGAGGGGCTGTCTCCCACGGGAGCAGCACAGAGAGAACAACAAACAACAAACAAACAAGAGGCGTGCACTTTTCATTGGCAAACAATACAGCAATGTCCCCTCTGGTCCCTGCAGTATTTCACCACTAAACAACAAACAAGAATTAAAGGTTCTGTGGGCGTGGGCCGTTTTGTTTTAAATTTGTGGGGTGGGGACCCCCAGAGAGAGGGGGAGCGATGCCGTTTTGTCATTTTGGGGAGGGGGTGCGAGGAAATTGAAGTTCAAACTGTGAAGCTGAATCCTCCAAACAGAGGATCCAGGTGAATTGCACACGTGGACATGTAGAGCCACGTAATTCGTTGTTTGTCCATGTTTCATGGTTAAAATACCCAGGTCCCACCCAGCGCCAGGCCCTGCAGTCTGCCGCAGCGCGTGCCCCAGCGCCATCCCAAAGCAGCGCCGCCCGGGCAGCGGCCCCGCCCGTCCCAGCCCTCAGCCCAGGGGCCTTCTACCCGCCCCCCCCCTGGGCTCAGCAACCGTGGTACATGGGGGGGGGGGGGGGGTAGAAGACCGCCCATTTTCTCTTCTGGAAAAACACATTTTAATATCAAATACAGTGCTTGAGAACGACATTACATGCAGCAACTCTAATTAAAGAGTTAAAAACTTTAATCCTAAGGAAACCACTGCATTTTCAAAGATGTCAAGCCCTTCCCAACTAAAAGAAGGGTGACATATCTCCATTTTAAATGACCTTACCTTTATGCGCTCCAGGCTAGAAGGAGGATTGCTATTGTTTTAATTTTTTTTTTTGTAAATACACACTGTTCCACAAAATAATTCTTGTGTGAACCATTTTTTTAACCTTTCTCTCAAATAAACTGAGGTTTTTTTGTTTGTTTTTTCTTTACCCCCTCCTCCCCTTACTTTTCTTGTTTTTTTTTTTTTAATTTTTTAATTTTTTTTTTTATTTCCCAGACTAAAGCATTCCTCCTTCTCTTGCTTTTCACAAGGCTGTAATCAATACCTGGGAAAGTTAAAAGTTTCTGAAGAAACATTGATTTCAAAGCAAACACTCCATCTTAATGAGCCTCGCTCTCATTAAAATAGGAGATTCCATGAAGAAGAAAACATAAAATTAATCAGAATCTCCAATATTCTTATTTGAGAGGTGTTAGGATGCGTAATAGTGCTTTTAGAGGCACAAAACAGATCGGCGCCTCAGTTTCCACATAAGTGAAATAAGAGAATTGGGCTGGAAACGTTTTTTTGGTGCTGTAATTCACTATTAAATTAAGACGGATTAAAGAGAGGACTTGAGGCGTCACTGTTTCCTCTCTTTTTTTGGGGGGGGGGGTAATTTGGTGAGAATCACCTTAAAAATGCAAAATGTCTTGCCCTGGCTAGGGCTGCAGACACCTGTGCCAGCGGCTGCGGCTCAGCTGGGCTAAGGTGCAGCCACAGGACCCTGGGGAAGGTGAGCCCAGTGGTGCAAGGTGTGGCCAAGCAGAGGCTGCGATTACTGCCAAAGGTGCTAAGATTTAAGGCACCATTAGCATCGCACTTGTTTCAAATTAGTATTCGGGTATGGCTCGCAGCCAAGGAAAAGGTTCTAGACTTTTCCAGGCTTACTTACACTTTGAAATCAAGTTTTTGCATATTATTCTTCACACAGTGTAATTCTGCCTTTAGGAGTTTTAAATAAGACCTCAACATATGTATCATTTAATTACTGAAAGCGCAAGTGCAGAAACACCAAAAAACACTTATTTACACTTAATATTTCCTGCTTTATATAAACCTGGACTCAGGAGAACAAAGGCATAACCCATCCAAACAAGCAAAGCAAACACCACAAAGAAAATCAGCCTTTACACTTTATTCTTTATAACTAAGCTGGTTTGTCGAAGGGTTACCATCAACTAGGTCTTAACCTACCAATTCACCAACCCAGATAACCAAATAACTGAGAAAGTGGAAAACTTCCATACTAATTAATGCTTGTGTAATTCTTCTGGTCATTTCACCACTTTTTAAGATTTTTTTTGTTTTATTTTAACTTCTCCCCCCCCCCCCCCAAAAGCCGCACCTTTAAGAAAAAGGAGGAAAGGTCATCTCAAATTCCACCCCCCTTTTTGGCCAAAGTGAAAACCGCAATCAGGAGCGAAAGCCCAGAACCAAACAACCAAATGTCACTTGACAAACAACTAATTAGCGTTTTTTCATCTCCTCCACCTGGAAAAGTCTCCTCCAAGCGCAAGCCGCCTCCCTGCCCCCTTCAAAGGACAGAAAACGCCATTTCCAGACCCAGAAGCCATTTCCAGACCAATGTCATTTTCCAGTTCTGATTTGTGAATGCTCCCCCCCCCCCCCTTCCACAAAGTCCTGGCAATGTGGGGACTAACAGGAAAATGCGTGTGTTAATTTATTGAATTTGTCGGGGGGAGGCGATGCTGCTGGGGGTGAGGGCAGCTGCTGCCATTAATTCTCTTCTCTGCTTTTCAAAAAGCCTGCGTGTCTGGGAGGGGGAAAAAGGTCATACTGTAAAAATGACGTGTCATTTGGCTTCACTGGGCACTCAGCGCACCAACTCCATTTTTTTTTTATTTTTTTTATTTGAGTCTCCTTTCCTTCTTTCTGCGGCCTGGCCGGCCCGGGACACATCTGCCCCGCGCAGAGTGTCCGGCCTGGCCGCAGCGAGTCGCGCCCGGCGCCGCGCGCCCTCCTCCCCGCCCCCCCGGCGCCACGACTCCCCGCACCCACCTCCTCTCCGCAGCCCTCCGAGGGGCTGATGTCACCGCCCCCCCCCCGCCCCGCCAAAGCCGCCCTGCGGGAGGCCCAGGCCGCGGACGCCCCCCGCGCCCCTTTCTCCCCGTCCCTCTCCGCGCAGATCACCCCCACGGAGGCGGGTCCCCCTCCTGCGGCCCGCCGCCCCGTTTCCTGTCCCCGAGCCCTCTTTGTCGCAGTCTCCCGGCCCGGCGGGGCTCCCCTCCCCCTCCCGACCAGCCCGGGCCCCGCGCCGTGTAGGCCTCGCGGAGAGAAAGGAGCGAGGGGCGGGAGAGCCGCTGGGCCGGAGCCGGCCCGCGAGGGGGACCCGCGCCCGCCGCCGAGCCCCCGACCCCGTTCTGAGCCCCGCCCGCCCCGTCTGCGCCCCGGGGCCCCTTCCGGCCTCGGCCCGAGACAGAGCCCGCGGGCGGCGGGCCGGGAGCGCGCCCGGCGGGGGACGGGCTCGGCGCGCGGGCCTGGGCGCCCCGAGGGGCCCCCGGGCCGGGCCGGCCGGCGCCCCCCGCCCGCCCTTACCCAGCAGCAGCAGGCGGTGGGTGGCCCGGTAGACCTGCTTGTCCTTCTGCAGCTGTTTCTCGATCTTCTTGTTGGCCTCGCGCTGAGCCTTCTCCTCGTTGCGCTGGTCCTCGGTCTTGCTGTTTCCGAGACAGCCCATGGCGGCGGCGGGCGCGGCCGGCGGGTCGGCGGGCGGGCGGGCGGCTCGGGCGGGCGGGCCGGCGCGGGCTAGGCTCCTCGGGGAGGAGCGCGCGGGGCGGACTGAGAGCCGCTCGGGGAGGGTGGTGGCGGTCGGACGGAGGGGAACGAGCCGTTCCCGCCCCTCGAGCCGGAGCCAAAGGGGCTGAGGGCCGCTCGGGGCCGAGGCGGACCAGAGCAGGAGCTGCGGGAGCTGCTGGAGCTGCTGCCGCGGCGGCCGCTCTTATTGCCTCGGCCCGGGCCCGCCGCCCCTACCCAAAAGGGCCCCGGCGGGCGGGGGGAAGCGGGGGGAGAAGGAGGCGGCGGCGAGGGGGGTGGAAGGAGGAGGAGGAGGGATGAGGAGCAGCCGTGGCGGCAGCCCGGCGGCGGGGAGGGCGGGAGCTGGCAGAGGGAGGCGCCCCCGGGTGCCCGGGGAGGGGGTCCCTCCGCCCGCTCCCGTCCCGGGACGGGAGGCGCCCCCTCGCCCCCAAGCCGGGGCCCCAAACGGGCGGGCCGCGGGGGGAGAGGGGGCGGCCCCGAGCCAGTGACGACCCCTCGCACGACGCCAACGCTCCACCCCCGCCCGGCCTCGAAGCCCGAGGCCCCCCTCCCGCAGGCGCCGCCGAGGGGCCGGGGTGGGCGGAAGGGGAGGGAGCGCGGGCCAGAGCCCGGACTTCGGAAAATTTTCTGAGAGAGAGAGAGAGAGTCACAGAGAAAGCCAGAGCGGAGTGTGGAAAAAGCTAGGCGAGCATGAACCAAAGGACACAGCAACCGAAAAGGAAAATGTGTTCACACAAACACACGAACTTAATAAAACTCCACACTGCACAGCGATGGTGGTGGTGATGGTGGTGTCTGGTGGTGGGGGGCTGGGGGTGGGGGCTGGGGGGGCTTAGATGAGCCTCTCCCCGCGCCCCCGGCGCCGGGCACGGCCCGAGCCGGAGGGCCCCGTGGCCCCGGGGCGCCCGCGGCCCCTGCGCCTTTGGCCCCAGTAGGAGAAGAAGGCGCAGCCCAGGAACATTCTAAAGCAGCAGGTCGCCCCGAACACGAAGCCGCAGCCGCGGCCATGCTCCCTGCGCTTGTGGAGCAGGAAGTCCAGCACCCACGAGGGGCTGCGCACGGAGAAGAGCAGGAACACCATGAGAGGCATGTGGGTGCTCAGCTCGCCGGTCTTCGGCGGCCACGGGTTCCAGGCGATGCCCCCCACGCGGGGCTCTCGGTAGTAGGCGTAGGCGTCGTCCTCGTCCCAGTAGCACCGGGCCCAGCACCTACTCGTGCCCGCGGTGCCGGCGCCCGCGCCTCTTGCGCCCTCCGCGGTGCCCGCGGCGGCGGCGGCGGCGGCGGGCCCCGGGGCAGCGGACCCCTTCTTCTCCTTCCCCTTCTTCTCCTTCTTCTGCGCCTTCTCCAACTTCTTCCTCTCCTTCTCCTTCTTCTTCTCCGCCTTTCGCCTCTGCTCCAGCAGCTTCTTCTCGAGTTTTCTCTGCTCCTTCTCGGTCAGGAACTTCTCGGGGGGCACCTCGCACGGCAAAATTTTGGGGTTCTTCCAGGTCTTCTTGGGGTCCGAGCCCTTCCAGGAGGCGCGCGGCTCTCTGGGCTCGGCTAGCGCCGCAGCCACCGCTGCAGCTTCGGCAGCTACCTCGGCCGCAGCGGCCGCCGTCTTCCTCTCGCTGTCCAGCGCCTTGGCTTTGATCTTCCTGGCGATCTTCAGCATAGTTGCCCGGCCACCGCGGGTTGCCGGATTCTCGCCTGGCCCGGGCGCCCTGCCTGCCCCCGGCCTCGGCTTGGCGGAACCCTGGGCGCCCCGTGTCGGGGGTCTCCGCTGCGATGCCCGGCGCGCTGCCCCGGGGCCGCGGAGCGCGGCTGCCCGGTTCGGTTCGGGCTGCTGGGCTGGTTGCCTAAGAGTTAGCGCCAAAAAGGATGAGCGAATGAAAAAAGGGCGAGAACACACCAAAAAGCACCCACAACAGCGAAAAACCAAAAAGCACCAAGAAATGTCAAACAACTAAAAAAAAAGTGCAGAGCCGCGATGGCACGAGTTTGCCGTTACCCTCAGACGCTCCTTGGGTGGGCTCTTGGGCGCGCCAATGGAGAGAAGAAAAGAGAAAAGAGAGAATTGGGGGCTGCCCGGGAGCCGGAGGGCAGGGAGGCAGCGCCGGGGCGCCCCTGCCCTGCCCGGCGGCTCTTGCCCGCGCCTGGCCACTCGCGCTTCGCGTGGAGCCACGGGGCACCGGGACTTACATGTGAGTTAAGCGCACTCACACGCAAGGCAGTGCCTGCCTGCCGGCCGCCCGCCGCTGCCCCGCGCGGGACAGGGGTTCGCTCCAGCCGAGGCGCCGCAGCCCCGAGCCGGAGAGCCGGAGCCGCAGGGCCAGCCACCGGACCAGCCCGCTCCGCGGTGCCGACGCGACTGAGTGTCCCAGCCGAAGACCGGCGCTCCTACCCAGTCCGATGACGCCCCAGCCTCTTCAGAGGACTGACCCACAGCGGTGGCCCCTATAAACCGAAGGGGAAGCCGAAAAATCGGCCCGCCGGGGACGTACCCAAATGGGCTGCCGCGCACCCTACGGGCGTGCGCCGAAATACGGACGTCACGGGAGTGGGCAGGGGGCGTGAAGGGTGCGGCAGCGGGGGGCGCGGGGGCGCCCAAGTTGGTGGGCACCGGACCCCGCCTCCCAGACCTGCCTCCCAATTTTCGGTGAGTGGTGTAGCCCTGGGCGGCGTGCAAAGTGTGCGACGGCGGCGCTTACCCCGCTGCGCGCTTACCTCCAGCTCCCCGGCTAGTGCGCGGGTCCGTTCCCACCCCTCCCTGCTGCGGCGCGCGCCCGCGGAGGTAGGTGTCGGCAGCCTAACAACTTTCGACGCCTAGAGAGGGTTTCAGATCTGGTGAGAGTGCCACGCGAACGCAAAACTACATTGCTGGAAACTGGAGGCGGCCGGCGGCCGCGCGCGCCGGAGAAAGCGGTGTTGGCCGCGGAGCCGGCGTCTTCCCAGGCGGGAGAGGTGGTGGAGTCGGGTGTCCTGTTCTCCAGGCCGGGCCTGGGGGCCGCGGTGTGGCTCTAGAACAGAAGGAAAAGTAGTTTACTGAACACGAAAAAGTTTGCAGAAAGTTTAAAAACTTTACGTCCCCATTGCACTCTCGTCCCCACACTAGCAGAGAGCACTGGCTAAGAGCAAGGACACCAAATTCTCAACTACCGAGCCGCCGCTCATTTCCTGAGACCTCGGTTAAATCGCTTGCCGCTCTTGGGTTTCTGCTTAGGGACAATAACGTTTGGGCCATGTGGTCCGCCTTGTGCCCAGGTGAGCTGGCGTCGCAGGTGATCAGGCAAAGACATGGCACGGCCGCCTCTGCTGCCCAGCAGGCCTAACTGCCAATAAACTCAGGTGGAGGTGGTAACGGTACACTCTCTCTCCCACCCTGAAACTTTTTTGACTTCTAAAGGGTCAGTAAAACTTTGGGTGCTTGGGAAAAAAAGAAAGGGCGGAAGCCCACCTGTAAACCAAAACACACACCACACCTACGGCCCTCGGTGATTGTTTGATACTTTGGAGCAAACTGTTGGGAATAGGTTTAAGTTTTCTTTGAAAAAGGAAGACACTATTAGCTATTCAACAGGACTGTTGAAATTGCCCCCTCAACCCTGTCATACCCAGTGTAAAAAGTGTGACAGAGTCACACACACAGGCTTCAGAACAGAAAGCAAAAGCTTCAAGTCAGGCCCCAGCCCCTGCAGCCCCTGCGGGCCCAGGGGGCCTCATTCCAATGAGAGTGCATGGCTGTGCTCGCCCTCCCCCGCACCAGACCAAACTAAGCGGGACTTTGTCACACTTTGGATTTTGGCCTCTCTTCCACAAAAATACCCCTTTTGGAAAAAAAGCTCAAAGGCACGACTGTTCCAGGTGACTAGGTGACGCTTTGAACATAAACAGCAGATAATGATATTGAACCTGACTGTGCCGGGAAGCCAAGCGGCGGTGGGAGCTCGCAATCAATAACAATGTGACCGAGACAGACTCACAGTCATCCACCGGCTAGCTCAGAAGCTCAGACACAACTTGACAACGGCGCCTGCATTTTATATATTTATATACTAAGTAAAACTTCTGGTTACATTTCATTGATCGGTTGTCTTAAAAAAAATTGAAAACTTGGAAGAAGGAAGAAGAGAGGTCAGAATTTCTTATCGTGCTCCACTTGTTCAAAAACATCTTCCTCCCTGTTTCTAATGTGTCAAAGCACAAACACATCGTATTTATGAGGAACGGAGGTAAATAGTAACCAACACAACCTCCCTATTTCTGCCAGTAGCTACACATTACTACAAGGAATGTAATGAAGAGGTTCTCGTTTGGAACCCTTCCCTCCCCCCGGAGCTGGGTCACCAGCTCCCCTTTGAGGCGTAACATGCCTAAACTTTGAAAGCAGTGAATCTGTGCCATATCACACACTGACACATATTCCAGACAAAGCACGATCCAGATGGGGCTATTGTATGAAGCAAGGTCAGGCTTTAGTCATTTCACCTTCTAACCTCTCAGGCCATCCTTGAAAAAAGGTGTGTTTTTTTTAATGTAGGTTTCATCTATATTTTACTAAGACCAGCCACTGATGGACAGATAAATGACAGCAGATGGGACCCAGGCTTTACAGGTAAGAAAACGATACTAAGAACTCGGGAACACAAGCCCATTTGTGGCCTGGTCAGCTTTCTGTTTTCACTCCACACAAAGGGAAAGATGAGATTTTACTTAATTAGCGCTGTGAGCTGGCACTGCATACAGTTTTCAGTCTTGCATTTGACCTACCCAGGCTTTAAAAGTTTTAAATTTTTTTAAAAAGCCTTTCCAATTTGAAGGCCACCAAGTGTGACCTTTTCATATGAATTAGTAATTTATTTTACCAGGCCATTACCATTTTAAGTACCTGGTTTATGTTTTAAAAGTAGAACAATGCATTTGCATAATTCTTGGTACAGTGCAGCTAGACTTTTGCAATGGAGGGGCCTCTCATTTGGCTCAGGGGGAGATGGAAGTGGTGGAAACTTCAGGCTCCAGA